CGACTGGCCATCTCCGTTCATGCGATTTACCATCTGGCCTCGGAGGTGTCCCTGCTCAAGACGTACCATGATCTCAAGCATCTCAACACGACGTCAGCACTCACCCTGATTGAGCTTGCCAATCTGGGGCGCCGGGGCAGCCGCATTCACTACCTGTCCACCTGGAGTGTCCCCCATCTGCAATCTTGGGAGCAGTCGCAGCGCAATTTCTCTAGCATCCAAGTCGACGAGATTAGTCCCATCCACTTCGCTCCACCAGCGACCGTTGACAATGGCTACTTCAAGACCCGCTGGGCCACGGAGATGCTCCTCACGCGGGCCGCCGCACGTGGGTTTTCCGTCACCATCTACCGTTCGTCCGCCATCTCAGGCAACACCGTGACCGGTGTCGCTTCCTCCGACCAGGACATCGTGCGTGGTATGGTCATGGACATGGTGCGCCATGGGGTTGTCCCTCAGGCTGGTACATCCGATGCTCCTTTCGTGGTCGACTTCATCCCCGTCAATTATCTCGCGGACGCCTTGGGCCATCTAACTGCAGTGCACGACACTACTCAACCCGCTGGGCTGGAGGTCCTCCATATCACCAACCCCAAGCCGCTCTCGCTCGACCAGTTACCTCGTCTGACAGCTGCAATCCGAGGCGACGGTCACAATGCTCGGTCCGTGAGCGTAGAAGGCTGGCTCGAGGCGCTGGAGCAGGCAGTCGGCGAAGACGAGCAGCTGCGTCTTGAGACGTTGCGGGACTATTTCCTCAATGGACACAACATGTTTGCTTTGAGTTGCCGCAAGGCAAACGCCTTGCTGGCAGAGAAGAAGGATTTGATGGCCTGCCCTCCTGTGGATGAAAACTATCTGAGAGCGTTGTGGAAGGGAACTGCATAGAAGCTGGTATACTGGATTTTGGGCTGGGATATCTAATTAGTTGTATTTCGATAGGTCCCCCATGGATTAGGCCTGCTCTTCTTGGAAGGCGTGTTTCTGTTGATGCAGATAGTGAAGTAGTATGACCTAATCTGAATGACAAGAATAGTCGTGATGAAATCCTGTGGAGTGTCAATAAAAGTTTTGGGTCAAGCACGTAGCTCATCATGTCAGTGGCTCTTCTGATCTGATACCTCTAGGCTCTTGACGTCTTCCATTTGAACCTGCATGTTGGTATGAGCCTTGTTGTCGTCCACAACGCTGCCCGGTTCAGGCCACGCTCTCGAAAGTTTAGTGCGTTCAGGTTGCATACCGCCGATGTTCCATTCCCTCCAAGGATTTGGAGACTACACCAATCTAGACCCTACTTCCTTAAATTGAAGTCTTTGTGAGTGGATGTATCCGCGGATGAATCGACCTGACAAGGGACGACTGACCTCTCCATTTCCTCCCATGTAACCCTGATCCACCTCGTTTTTTCCGCGGACGAAAGCAATGGAGATCCGCTGGCACAACCCCCTACACGTCCCTGACGCCATGACTTCTCGACAAGGCCATGGGTAAGCCCCAATCCAGAAGTCGAACGACTTGACTACTAATCTCGAACAAGGTCTGCTTCTCCACAACGTCCCGCCCCGCCACTGGCGCGCCAATCGGGGAGTTACATTTGCATCTCTGTGATCGATAATCTATGGCTTCTTCTAGCCATCTTGGGAGACAAGACAACGACCGTTATGCCCTCCAGATCAGATGACAGTCTTGACTTACCAAAGTTTGACCAGAACTTCCGCTCCCTTCCAGCTTGGTGACTCCCCATCGCAAGTAGCATGTCAATCCGGTTCAGATGGAGTCTTGACGTGATACTCGGCTGGCTGTGTTGCCGTCATTGAGTCCATTTGCTCCGGTCGCTTGTCATCGTAGCCAATACCATAGAACTCATCCGTTAGATAGTAGGTATATAGAGGCCCCTGGGAGAGGCATTGTCCGATCAGTCAATCAGCCAATCCAGACAATATCAAATCTCACCCCTAAAGCAAGATGCGGTCTCATCTGCAGTCTGCCGTCATCTTCTCACTCTGTCTTGGTCCGGCGGTGGCCACCCCGTATATCTATCATCGCCGGCCGGTATTGCAGGAGTACCTGGGCCCGGAGGCGGATCAAAACCCGCCTCAGCCAACGGAGCCATATGACTATGTAGTTGTTGGCGGAGGAGTAACTGGCCTAATCGCAGCCGGGCGGCTGGCTGAACATTACAATGTGGCTGTTGTGGAACGTGGCGGCTACTATGAGGAGATGACAGGCAATCTGAGTCAAGTTCCGGGATACACCGAACTCTTCGACAACAGCAACACTCCTCCCCGCGACGATGTGGAGCATTGGTGGGAGATTCCTGGGACGCCGGTACGAGAGTTGGCCCGCCAACTTCACTCCATATCCAGTCTTTTCTTTCCATAATACAGCAAAGCATTGACTCCTCGTTGCATAGGAAACCAACGGCCGCCCCTTGAACTTCACTGGTGGGAAGATGGTCAGTAAAATCCCCCCAGCCCCATCGGCGCTGACATTACTCCTGTGAACTCGTACAATATTTAACTGACACTTGATATAGATCGGTGGCAGTCATGCCTTCTCCTATTTTGGTTACCTGCGTCCAACCTACGGTGCCATGCAGAAATGGGCCGATGAGGTTGGGGATCAGTCTTGGACCTACCCCAACACGGAGGTATATTTCGACAAGTCCATCAAGTTCACTCCTCCTAATTCCACCACACGCTTGGCCAATGCTACACCCGAGTATGATCCCAGTCTCGAAGGCACTGGGCCTCTGGAGATCACCTACCCGCGCTGGGTGCACCCCTTCAGCACATGGTTGGCCAAGGCCTTCGATGCTCTAGGGGTCAAGCATACTCTGAGTTATGCCAACGGCGAGCTTCTTGGCTCCAGCTGGATCCTAGACACCACCAACAGTACCGATGGCACGCGGAGCACCTCCTGGACAGCCTACGTCAAGAATGCGCCGCCGCCGAAGAAGAAGCTCGATATCTTCACCTTCACCCTCGCCGAGAAGATCCAGTTCGATGGGACCAAGGCCACCGGAGTGGCCGTCACCCGCGACATTCCCAGCAAGTCCGGCCGTCCCCGGTCTATCGAGCAATTCACCATCGAGACGAAGAACGAATTGGTTCTGGCTGGCGGTGGTATTCTCTCTCCGCAACTCCTCATGGTCTCAGGTGTTGGACCAACCAAACAATTGCAAGAGTTGAATATTACTCCAGTCCTGGAAAAGGACGCAGTAGGACAGAACATGCATGATCATATTGTCTTCGGAGTGTCTTATCGGGTGAAGACGCCAACTAGCTCCATCCTGCTGGATGATGAAAAACGCTGGCATGAAGAAGATCTGTTTAAGGAGAATGTTACTGGCATGATGACCAATCCTGGTCCCGACTTTGGAGGTATTGTGGATATTCCCAGCGATCTTCGAAACTTCTCTCTGTCGACCAAAGCAGGTACGTGCTAGATACTTTTCTCTTTGTCGTACGTGATATGGGCTAACTGACGCGACTTTCAAAGACCTGGGTTCCTTGCCCAAAGACTGGCCCGAACTTATTGTCGTATCCTTCCCGCTTGGCCATGATTTCCCAGATGATGGTTACAACTATGCCACTCTGATGGGCGTCCCGATGACATCGATGTCAGTGGGCAATATCACTCTCAAATCCACCAAGATGAGCGACAAGCCCGATGTGCACCCGCACTGGCTCACCAGCACGACCGACTTGGAAGTGTCGATCGCATCGCTCAAATACATGCGTCGGCTCTTTGAAAACCCTGCCATGGAGCCCATCATCATCGGCGATGAGTATTCTCCGGGCCCTCAAGCCTCCACCTGGGCTGAAGTTGAGTATGCCCTGAAGCAGAGCTTCCGCTCGATGCATCATCCGGCGGCCACCCTGCGCATGGGGCGCGCGGACGACGAGAATGCCGTCGTGGATTCTCGGGGTTCAATCATGGGATTAGACAACGGTGAGTCACTGTCTTCTTCTCTTCCTTCGCAATAATCAAATTAGAAATCATTGGCTAACCTCTCTACTTCTCTTCAGTCCGTGTCGTCGATCCTTCGGCATTCCCATTCCTGCCCCCCGGTCTGCCTCTTGCCCCTGCCTGTAGGTCTTCCCTTCTGCATCCCCACCAACGAAACTTAAGATACTAATGTATTGCAGTCATGTTCGCCGAAAAGATTACCGATAACATCATCAAAGACCAGAAGATCGGAAAGAAGAAGGGCCACGATGAGCTCCGGACGGACTTGTAGATGATTAGCCCTTCGATATAGTCAGTATGGACGGAATTGGAGATCTACCCGCTACAGGTGCCACTAACAGACAACAATGTGTGCTTGTCACCGGGAACATTCGCTCACTTCCCTTGATGTAGGATAAGGCTTTGCCTTGATAATAACATGTCCTCTCTTTGGCCCATTTTCTCCACATGATTCCATGCTATATAGGAGCACAAATGATTTCAAAGACCGCGCAAAGGGATACTTTGGCAAATTTTCCCAAGGGGAGGAGACTGTAAGATTCAAATCAGAAGTCCTGGACACAGCACAATCGTAGGGCCTAAGCTTACCAAACGTGCTAAACACCTTGCAAGCACTTACAGAGACAGAACAAAAGCTGCTTCAATCCCAATTTTCCAAAGTACAATTACTTTAAGTGTTCTGGAGCGGCAAATCCAAATAGGGCATGGATAGTTGCTTGGAGCGAAGACGATGACCTCATATTGCGCCTGGCCGAGATGGAACCACTTGCGATTGCGGTATAGTCTCCCTCCTGTGTGGTTCCTACTCGAGCCGATGACAAGCCTATCTTTTCTGTTCTAGGCTTGACGTAGTCGGATGGATGCAACTAGTAATTTGGGTTTTCAACGCGTCTGCTAGTTTGCGCATTTGATTCTGGGTCAAGATACGAACGAGAGGAGTATGTCTGACAAGCGAATTTCAACCCATGATCAGAGTATGTATGAATAGATACATATAAAGAAGTAGTACATGATGTGATCTACGAAATTCATTATTGCTCAGAATAAATGGAAGTATTTTCCAACCAGTCCTCCAGTATCTTCACAGCTCTGCCCTTGCCCTTTGTCTTCGCTATTGACAATGCCATCTGCGCCCCGAGATCCTCCGAGAGAGCATTGACTCTTCGGATTGCAAGAAACTGGCGAACCACATCTTCATGGCCGTTTGCCGCGGCTTCAGAAAAGGGCGTATTTCCACGCATATCTTTGTGGTCAGGGTCGACTCTTCCCGTAGACAGAAGTATGCGCACGATAGCTACGTGGCCTCTAGATACAGCGTGTGTAAGTGGTGTCCTTCCATCACTATCCTTAGCATCAGGATCAACGCTTTCTTTCAAGAGTAGCTGGATGACGATGTCTGCGTAGCCGCTAGATGCAGCGTATGCTAGTGGTGTCATCCCATCTGAGCACTTTGTGTTCGGATCTGCCTTCCCTGTAGCTAGCACCTTATCCACAAGGGCTTTATTGCCACCCCATGCAGCGTAGACCAGTACGGCTCCTGCGCACTGACTATTCAAGCGGGGAAAGAGGTCATCCATGTTAACTAGTCGCTCTACAACTTCACCACATCTGGCTCGTGCTGCGCCTTTGAGCGTTCTGTTCCAATCTTCGTCTGAGAGGAGTACCTGGCGGGGTGTTTAGAATAACGCCAAACGCTAATGGGCTTGATGAAGGGGGGAATGGGGATTAGAAATACCTACCTCCGTGCAACTTGTTTTCAAGAGCGACTCGATCATAGCAAGATTTAAGCGTTCGACTGCCAGTGTCAACAGCGTCTTGCCCCTTTTGTTCATGGCATTGACATCAACAGGCTGTGTCGCTAACAGTCGATTGAACACAAGATCGTCATCAAGCTCGATGGCAGAGAATAAGAAGGCAGTGACATCGGCTTTGTCTCTCGCTACCAATAAATCAAACATTTTCTTCCGTCTGTACTGTATGTAATAGTGTAGTAGAGTTTGTCTATCCCCAGTCTGAGCACTCAAATTAACCTGATCCATAGTAAGAAGTTTGAGGAACATAAATACTCGGTCAAACCGAATGGCGTAATGCAGAAGCGTATCACCATTCCTATCAGCTGCATTCAAATCAATCTCACGCATATTTATTATTTGATTGAACATGGAGTTGCGGCCATATTGGATGATAGAATGTAAATAGTGCTGTCCATTATTGTTCGGTAGTTTGAGGTTAACATGAGTATTTGTCACTAGCTTCTCGAACATGGCTTCTCGATCAAACTGAATGGCATAATGTAGAGGCGTGTTTCCTTTTCCATCGGCTATATTCAGATCAATCTCGTGCATGGCCAATATTCGGTCGAACATGGAGCTGCGGCCGTATTGGATGATGTAATGTATATATTGCTTCCCATCTTTATCCAATAGATTGAGGTTAACATGGATATCTGTCAATAGGCTCGCGAACATAGCTTCTTGATTAAACTGAATGGTGTAACGGAGCGCCATATTGATCCAAACGGTAGGGGAGTCTGGAGCGTCTTGCAGCTTGATAAAATCGAGAAATTTCCTATGGTCATTCCTGACAGCATAGGAAACCAGTAATTCAAGGTCACGCGTGCTCGGTATAGAAGCACATGGCTTGTCTTTACAAATCACCCGAACTAAACTCGACAGGTCATCTTTTGCAAGGATGCTAAGAAGACAGGTAGAGTCCGTATGACGACGGGATTTGTACTTCTCAAAAGCGTTGCTGCAACGCTTCCAGCGGGGGAGATTGAAGTTCCCAAGAAAGCATCCCTGGCGGACGCCACCCTTCTCTGCGGCTTCAGAGTGTTGAAGGACATTATATACCGCATATTCGAGGAACGGGAGTTTTTGAGAAAGAGAGTCTCGTAGTGTCTTGAGCTCATCCCTCGAAGCCGATTCAATATACTCCTCCTCTGCAATGTTGTTGCTAGTAGCTTCGGAAAGAAGGGTGTTGTTGCAACACTGCTTCAATCGATCATGACTTGAAGCCTCAAAGTTCCCCTGGTGCTCAGGCCAGAGTTCGCGCAATCCATCTTCTTTCAGTAAAAAGTCTCGGACGGACTCATGGATGAATTGAACGGTCTTTGCTTTTGACTTGGTTGTCTCGGCCAGTCCTTTGGAGGTGCTTAGAATGAATCGATCAATGTCCTGCTCACTTATGTCTTCAGGGTCCCAGGCCTCGGCCAAATTGTCGGGATCTGCAGAAAGAATAGCAAAATACAGCTCCTCTCGTTTGAGCGGTCGTCTAGCGAATAGAATCCACTGAATACTCAGTAAGAGGTCTTCCATGTTCACAGTATCCCTGGTCAGTATATCTTTGAAAAGATCGCTAAGCTTGGCCGGGATCTCACGAAGTCTCTTGCGGAGGGCATGCAAGCGACCGCGCTGATATTCGCGATTTAAGATCTGCACGACAAGCACTATCCATAAAAAAATCCCCGAGGCCTTCTCATGTATCTCGCGTCGGATTTCCTCGGCTTGCTTGCTGCGCCCAATCTTGAGTTCGCTGTGCAGGTATCGAGTAATATCATCAGCGTGACCTTCCTGATCCTCAAGAATCAGTTCCAGCCCCTTCTCGATGGCAATATGGGGGTAGTGTCGACTTGAGAAGCAGACATTAAGCTGGACCCTTGATGAAATTGCATGTTCTCCGAGTGATTGGATGAAATCAATCATGGCGCGGACCTCTTCTTCTTCGCATTCGTCCAGGGCGTCAATGAAGCAGATGACACGACGCCCGCCAAGTCGTGAGATCGACCGGCGGAAGGTGTGCTGAAGTATTTCATTGCTCCAGGGATAACTTTCGCCCCCACTCCCATTGTCAAGTTCGTCGAGGAGCATCCGGAGTTCTGGGACTTTTTCGAGCAATTGCGCCACCAAGGATCGGTACATTCCCAATGTTGATTTCTCCAAATCTTCACCTCTGGCATTGAAGAAGAAAGAGATGACCTTCGTGTCTGCATTTACCTTTGCATCGGCCTGTTGAAACGCGAATTTCATCATCGTCGATTTGCCACTCCCTGCCTTACCCTTGATCCAGAGGAGGCCACAGTGCTCGGGGAAATGTTTGCTGTCCAGCCAGTCCACATATTCTTGCTTCTCAAGAAGCCACTTGCAGGTTTTGGCATGCGCGGGCTTTATCGTGGCTTGCCGGCTCTCGAGTTGATCAAATCGTAGAGCATCCATCATCGATGCGCGGTGCTGGACAGCCGTGATTACTCCGGGACCAGCATAGTCAGAGATAGGCCCATGGCCGCAGACGCCGATCGTAGCAAGCAGCTGCTTTGCATATGCAGCGGCGGTCGCAGCCGCATAGCCCTGCCATGCCTTATTTTTATGCGAGTCCGAGTAGTCCGAAACACCTCGAATGACAAGACAGGGGAAGTTGTCCATCAGCCCGGCTGCTTCCATTTCGAAGCATAGAATATTGAGCTGCGCTGCCAATTGATCGCGCGTTTGTGCATGCTTGATCACCTGGTTTCCTGATGCGATCAGGCCATAGTGGACAACTGGCCGATCGGAGCTGCGCGTCGACCGGGTCACCAGGTTTTTACGGTCGCAAAGTTCGCATGTCGGCTCCGCTGGGTCATGTTCAAAGTCTGAAGCAAAGAGAAGGTCCCTCTGACAGCCGGGGGAGGTGAACGTTTCCGCCATCTGCGGATTACGCGCCAACATCTGCGACATCAGGACGGGTATTTGGCTGCCATTGCGGAGGTCCGCCGCCCGGAGGCTATTGACTGCCGTCAGAAGGGAAGTGGATGGCTTGTTCAGAGTGCCTGTTCGTTCGAAGCGCCCTTGTCCGATGGTCTTGCCATAGTCGTACTGCACCACGCCCTCGAAACGGGGCGTGGGAATGCTGACCACAACATCCCCCAGCCGAATATCCGCCGAGGCAGAAGGCACCCCTCCTCCGATTCCAACCATAAGTAGATGACAAATTGATCCAAAACTGATGAACATGTTGCTAGCGACAGTCGCTGCTGATGTGGTGCCATAGACGCCGGCGGGGAGACAAGCGATCACCACGTGGTGGCTGCCGATGGACCCGAGGGTATACGAATTGCTGTCGCGCGGGTGAGTGGGCAAGGCTGGATGGATCTGGTCCAGCATGGCTGTTGCTGCTGCTGCCTCGATGGGAAGAGCGCACACCCAGCCGATGGTGTAGTCATCGTGGGAGAGTTGCTGGAGATTCTCTCTGTTGTCGAGCTTTCTCCGCTTCGGGGGATTTTCCAAGATATGCGGTTGTTGATGCTCCATGCGAGGAGATGTAGAACTATGCTCTTTCAAAAGATCAATTGATCAGCTCATGCGTCTAAGTGTCAGGGTGTTAGTAAATTTCATTACTTCAAAGAAGCATTTCTGTGGTGGTGGAAGAAAGTGGGAGAGAGCGATCAGTTATAGCGCCCAAATGCCCGACCGGGTGAGCTTGCAGCCTCGTCAGGACTTGTGGCGTGGCTGTGCCTGCATCTCTTGCATCCAATCACACTAAATGCAAAGCCTGCAGTGGCCATTGTGTCTAATTCGCTGAAATGACAACCTTCCACTACTAAGTACTTCCATTTCCGCTCCATGTTTTCCCACGCTGGTCTGAAATAGCCCTTCGCTCGCATCCGTAAAATACTTTCTAGTGCAGACTTCTGTTTTACTTTGGTAAATGGTGCATGCTGGCCGAGTGGGCACGTAAATGAATACAGACTAGCAATTTCATTTCTCATAGAAACACATTGTGGTGTTTTCCACTGTTCAACGAGTAGCTACTAAGTGGTCCCTTAAGTACTCACTCAGATCCGCTCGGCTTCGACCACGCCCAGTCCATCGCCGGCTCGAGTCCAGAATTTATTCACTCGCAATCCCACCGAGTCCAGCAACCGCGTCCACTGCTGCGTCGTCCGCTCTAGTCCCGAGCAAAACACCATCACCGCCACGTCTGTCATGCCGTGAATCGCTGAGGCGTTCTGGTCGGGTACAATGTATTCTTCCATGATCAGCTTAGAGTAGCCCGGCTCCATCGCTTCCACGACATATTTGAGGATGATCCGGGCTTTCTCATCAGACCAGTCGTGCATGACATTCTTGAAGTAATAGACCCGGGCACCTACATACCCTCGTCAGTCGCTGGTCGCTTTCAAACACACTGGGAAAGACCAAGGATCTCACCTTTGACAGGTTGCTGCTCTGTGAAGAAGTTGTACTTGACCGGGACAATATTAGCCCCATCCAAGTCCTGCGCCCCTCGCACCTCGTCGATCACCACCGGCAGATCCTCCAAGACCAACTTCCCCGGAGCATCCGGGAACCGTTTCTTGAACCCCAGAAGATCATGGCCTCGGCCACCACCAATGTCCACAATTAAGGCCCGTTCGGGGTTGCTGTCAGCATCGGCCAACACCCGGTCCTGCACGGGGAACCAGTCCGCCCAGTGCGGGCGATCCGCACGCTGGCCTTCCATGAAGTTGTTGAACCGAGCGAGCGCTTCAGGATTCTGGCAGAGCCACATGAATCCATCTTCCTTCATGTTGTTGGTGTACTGTAGCGGTGCAAACAGAGGATCCTCGGGGTTACGGTAGCCGGTGACCTGAAGGTATTCGGGGGTCTTCTGGACAGTTGGGAGGAATTCACAGAACCTGGTGCAACGCCCCGTCTTAGTGACTGTCACAAACAACGTCTTTCATTTTCCCATATCATTACTCACAAGGATTCTACCACTCCAACAGACGTTCGGTTGACCATCTCTTTGGTCACTGCGGTCGGCAGATACTGGCCGGGAGCTGGCTCAGCTGCAAAGCCGAATGCCACGCAGAGTCGCATCATCCGCTCTAGTTTTGGTTGGAGCCGTCAGCTTCAGGACATAGCTGCCAAATGTATGTCAGAGGTCCAAACTTACCAACCAGAAGAGGATCCGCAGGCTTCAACGCTGCAAGCTCGCTCACAGAGACTGGGCTCGTCGCGTTGGCCAATACAGGGAACACCTTCATGTCGTGAGCTACCTTTACAGCCATCAGGGCTGTCGGCTGTTTTGTCATTAGCACAATCAGTTATCTGAAGTAACTCAAAACTCCAAGTCCCATGGACTCACCGTATATGCTAGTTTCAGAATTGCATCGCGAGGTTTCTCCAGCGCTCGCGCCAGCTGGGTTGCCTTTTCGAGAGCATCGATTCGGTTATATTCGGTTCCATCGGCTTGAAAAGCTTCCAGCGACGACTGGACGTCTGTCCAAATACTCTGAAGTGATTCTTTGTTCATTTTGTCAAGGAACTATGCTCTGAGATAGCGAGGGGAGATGTGGGAAGAGCAGCCATCAACGACTCTAGACACCCCTCCTCTTAAATCCCCCGGCCCCTGTTGCGGGGTGCACTTGTTCATGAGTTCAGACACAGCGGGGGCAGTGTGAACAGCAGGTCCAGTCCGAGAAGATGGCCAACTGCCTGGTGGGTGGCATCCTGTAGCGTTCATCGCCAATGCGAACTAACCCTGAGGCCATCTGGCTCAACACCAGTAAGACGCTTCATCCTGTCAGGCTGTCAACACTTTCGGGTCCCGCTCCGATAATAGTGACAGTTTATTAAGCTCATTGGAACCAGTTTTCATGTGAAATTCCTTCCAGCACGTCGATCACGTAATTAGCAAGTACCACCGTTCAAGGAGTACGCCTCGACCGTCCAACAGACAGCAGTGGGGAACATGATGCCGCGCCAACCAGCTCAAAAACGATGTCTCTGAGCCAGATGTCTCGTACCCTCGTATATACTGCCCCGAATCGGCTCCACCACCCGCAATTCCGTGTTTCTTTGCGCGGCACCTCCTGGCGTTCTGAGCTTCGAGGCGGAAGAGAAGGTTCATCGACACCGCTACGATCTACCTTCTACCGGATAGTCGTGCAGTAGTAGCCTTTGCTAATTGATGCTAACGCAAGCTTGATACGACGATGATAAAATACAGCATTAGGATGTGCGTAGAATAGGGCTTATCCAGGGGTCCGCACGGAGAACGCCCGAAAGGAAAGAAGGGGGGAAATATAACATAAAGGATAATAACTGAATCCAATGATAGATTGAGCGGAGAAGATCCAAAGAAAGCAAGAGACGGTGGTTTTAGTGTCAATCCTTCGCTGACTACGATATAATGTAGATAATAGATATACAGCATCTGTTCTCTTAAGTCACGGTCATGCAGGAACCCAGATTTCCCATATACCATAGAAGAACTGTCCTTTTTCGGTCCAGCTTCGCGTCTTCCTTGACATCTTGGCCTCTCTCCTAATTTACCCTCCTCGTTCAATACGAACCTGGTCCATGCATCGACCGTGGTAGCAACAATTGCGGACCGCCGGGGAGAGATGCTTCCGCGGCTCTCGTGGGTCTCATTTTCCTTTTCAGGCGCAAGTCTGAGATGGTCGGCCGCTGTGCGGATCCCGCTTCTCACACGGGACGACGATTGATACTGGCGCCTCGATATTTTCTGTGGAGAACGTCTCGGACTCTGATTCCGATTCGTAATTCAAACGTCGATCGCAGGCAGCGATGCCGCGTCGGGGGTGACGGATGGATTCAACGCCCCAATCTTATTTGTCACTAAGAAAAACTATATCCAGCGGATGGCTCAAACGACGGAACCTTATGTTAATCTTCACATTTTCATTTTTGGAGACGGAACGAGTGGGAAAGCCTACGATGGAGCCACCTGCCACTTGGCACAGATATTCTGAATTCTGATGCTTTTCCTCCAGGACCTGAGCACCGCGCACTGTATTCTTTAAGATCCACTGTCGGCCTCAGCTTTCCACCCCCGCGAGGCAAAGAGCATACGGTGCTCCTACCACTGCTCATATTTTCTGGACCCATCCAAGAATTTGGAAACATTCAATGGTCCTTGTCGACCTTAAATTTGGTGCTGCTCTGACGCCTTCCACGATCCTCCCCTTAGCACGGCACGTCCCCCTTCCTTTCCGGCGAGGCATGAGAATCTGCAGAGCTTAGTTGACGCCGACCGGTGGCCGTTTTGGTTAGGCTTGATTATACTTCTTCCATGGTTGAAGAACTACTAGTTGGATTCTACCATGTGTGATTGGCATTCTTCCTGCAGCATGGAGAGTGGGGAAGAGAGAGATCTGCGGCTTTCCTAAACCGGATCCATTAACGAGAATCGGCGCGTAGCCTCTTTGTCTGGCGATGGAAGGCTAGTGCTAGATCCTTCCTGCTTTAGTGTGTTTGGATGCCCTCTCCACTCTAGCTTCGCCAATCTAGTTAAAGCAATTATGGGGAAAGTGCTTCTTTTTCCTTGCTGGGTAACCGATAGTCTGCTACGATTGTGTCACAGGATGCGAAGTGCAGAGCGACGGTCGTCTTTGCCATATCCCTGCCCTTCACTGCTCATCCCCTTTTCCGGTCGTGTGAAAAGGGCTTCAGCTATGTCGCGACATTTTGATACAACACAGTCATCGTAACTTCGACCGGTACTTCACCCCGTGGTGCTTTCTCGACTTTCGCTCAACACGCGCAAGTCCTGTTTGCGTGTGGTGGTCTTTGGTCGAAATATGGGCTACAACCTTACCGCGGAGATGTTCAGCGAGTGGGCAATAGGTCTGGTTTTCATTGCAGTTCGATTGTACACACGCTTTTCCGTGGATCGTGGAATGTTCCGCTGGGATGATGTGTGCCTGGTGCTTGGAACGGTAGGCTTTTAGAGGCAAGGGTCCATCTTGCGGAGAAAAGCAGGCTAATTTGCATCAGATATTCTGGACTCTCCTTGTTGTATTCTTATATCTATGCACCGGTTAGCTTATTTGATTCACATCTTGATTGGTTGGCACTGAGTCATTAACATTCTATACTTAGCTGTCTATGGCAGCAATATAGGGCTTAATGACACCACTGCCGCCGAGTTACCGGATGACCAGGTCCCTTCCCTGACCAAAGGCTCGATCTATGCGTTTCTCGCCTGGCTTTCGTACATCCTTATGGTGTGGTCTTTCAAGGGGGTGCTTGTGTTTATCTACAACAGACTCACGTAAGTATTAATCTTAGGCCCATTCCCTCGGGATAAGTATAAGTCTGACACCGCCTAGGATCGGTCTTTCGCAACACCGATTAGCCTTGGCTGTGGGCGCTTTTACAGTATGCACATTTGTCGTCTCACTACTCTTCGACCTCCTTATATGCAGACCGATTGAGAAAAACTGGCAGGTCAAGCCCTATGCAGGAAGTGAGTCGAATACCTGGCGACCATCTCCTCTGCTAACACGAAGCAAGACAACTGCACTGTGCGCCCATTAAACTACATCGTCATTGAAGTCTTGAGCATCTTGTAAGTGCTCTTCTCACATATACAATCACACTTGCTCACCTATTGCACCAGAACCGATCTCTGTATCATGTGCGTTCCGATTCCATTGATTATCGTCGCCAAAATCCCGACGTCTCAGAAGTGGATCCTCACGGGTCTGTTCTCCTCCGGCATCTTCGTCATGATTGCTGCCGGTCTTCGAGCATACTACTCCGTCAAAGACCTCTCGACTCTCGCAACGGCTTTGGGCTGGGCATCACGGCAGGCCTTTGTCTCAGCCATTATCGTCTGCGCTCCAGGGATCAAGCCCCTTCTTTCTCGCTTTTCCTGGTTTGCGTCCTACAGTTCTTCCCGCGGATACGACAAAAAGGACCGAAGCCGAACGACCTTTTTCAACTCCAAGAGTGGCGGTCGAGACGTGACGGTGGTCAGTACGTGTGAGCCTCAGCCGTACGAGCTCTCATCTATGGACTGGCCAAGGAAGCGCCAGAATTCGTCGGGAGAGAGCCAGGAACATATTATGGATCTCCTGCCGGCACCACAGCAGGGCTACACTGGCGACTCCGAACGGAATATGGGCATTATGATAACGACGGATGTCACTCTGGCGCATGAGGATCTCCCTCCCGAGGATCTGCACAACGTATCCACCACGCCACCATATGGGCATTGAGGGCAGTGTCTATATACGGAGCTTGATTTTCAGTCGTAGTCAGCATGTCTAACGGCGTCAATATCATGCGATTTTTTCCCTTTTCTTTATGTGTATGCGAATAACCTATGTTGGCTTGGCTCGACTTCCTCTCTGTGTCCCCGGAGAAATGTGAGCTTCACGGGCCTGTTCCTAATGACCATATCAATTAATGCTAAATACATCATGAGATGCCGATCAAGCGACGTCGTCTACTGTGCGAGATTTATCATTATGAATGTCGCCCCAGGTTTTTCATGATTTTTCTTGTTGCCTCCATCCTTACACCAGCATCATAGCTACAGCTCTCTCTTTAGTTCCGACCGAGCAAGTGGAGCGCGAGTTGCTCAATCTGTAAGTTGAACGCTCAAGCCACCATTCGTAGGTTTCTGGTAGCTATTACAACAAGAACAGAACGACAGTTTTCGCAACAACTATCGTACGAGGCTATCAACCCCACAACCAGTCTCATACTCATGTGTACTCGAGACACAACCCAGTCAACAAGTGGCTTAACAACAATATGGTGCCATAAAGACCATTTCACGCTACTTTACGAGCTCATCTCTTTCCGGGCGTGGACTGCTGGCCACTCTGTTGAGCGCCCGATGACGGGCCATAAGAGGAACCGGTTTTGGATGATGCAACGTTGGCATTCCGATCGGCAGCCGCTTGAGCTCGAGCAGCAAAGCCACCAGAGCTCATATCTTTTCCACCTCGTGCCTGTAGCTTTGTAAATATGCAATCTATGCCAACATACAGCAAGTGCTAACTTGGGTGGACTGGATGCGGGAAGCATCCGACTTGGTCGTCTGGTTCGAAGGCATGTTGATATAATAGCGACTGGTTACTATCAGGGTTTTGTTTTGGAAAGGATCGTTGATGTGTTGGAGAGTTCTTTTGTTCAAGATATTCATACCCTCATTATATGCCTCGCACATCTTTCACATGTTTGTACTACAAGTGCGGTATTGCTTATCTCCTTCGTCATGGGTAACCATTCCGGTGTCATCTTCCATCCAGCCAGTGCAGCTCTACATCTTCTTCTCCGGACCGCTAGTACTTACTACCAACTGTATGTGCAACTCAGCTAACTCCGTTTATTGGTTGGAACCATACCCTGAGTCTAGACCCTGCCCTTCGCCATGCATACGGCTCGCATGGTCGCAATATGCTACTTTGCGTTCTGTTTCACTTGTAGGGCCCTAGACCGTGAGAGAAAAAGCCAACCTTCGCGGAAACAGTCAGCACTGCTGTTTTGTGCTAGTGCCAGGTGTGTCCATAGATGGGAAACTACGAAAATTGCTATATCATTTCCACCAGTATAGCTTATGCTCCGATGTCCCAACGCGACCCTTTGCAGCCTCGCAGCCATACATGACCAACCAGCGGGCCGACACGCCATCATTGCGTGAACCAATCGAGACTTAGGTGGCAACTCTGACCATCAGAAACTCCTGCTTGCTTGCTGAAATCGAGCTCCAGATATCTGTAGAATCTGGGCGAATGTACGAGACCAATGCATGTTGGGACATTGGAAGGGAGGTTTGCTTCACCATGACGAAAGCGACCGAAGACTGCTTGCTCAGTGGCACCGTGTAGTTTGTAGTTCGTAGTTTGTACCACCGAAGGGATGCACGCCAGTGGAATAATCTGGAAACGAGCGGGGAATGCGTGGCATGACAGCTTCTCCCCAGCGATGACTAGGAGTGGTACACGGTAGTGGTTGGAAGGAATCCAGACTGCATCCCCTCCCTACTTTCTGGCGGGTGGCAACCCCGTTTATCACGTGATCACGCGTCGAACCCGCCAGAAGCGTCCGGGGATGCCTGGGGCCTTCCCGCTGTCTCTGGCGGGCACTAACCGCACTGAGCCCAAGGGTTCCAGCGATCGTTCAGGGAGCTTCGAGCTTCCTCCAGCAGCTACTCCTACGAGCTGGTACCTGTCTTATCCCAGTCACCAT